AGGATGAAAACAGCCAAGTTCATCAGGAAAGCCAGCACAGTGAGCTCCTCCAAAAGAGCCAACAGCTCCTTACAGATTCCACCAGCTCCAACAGCCTCTCCTTGCTCCCAACAGCCTTTTTTCCTTCTCCAGTTCTGCCTATGCTGCTGGCATCAATCCCCAGGTGGGCCTCCCACACTCAGCACCACCCTTACTCAGTTCAGCTAAAGGTTATAAGTTGACCACCAGTGGTCAATCCACTACAGGCGTGGAGAAGTGAGCAGAAAAGTTTAAGAAAAGCAGGAAGTTAGAGGGCAAGAAAATAGCTAAAGGAAAAAGGTGAAAATCTGTAGGTAGATGAGCAGATTCCATCAACTGTTTCAGGTATTATTTTTGGCTCCTGGCTTTGAATATGACCCTCTTGGGTAGAAAAAAATTTATTTTCCCACTTGAATAAGGGAGTTACAAATACCTAGAGGCCCGTTCAAATATAGTCATAAATATGCATAGATTAGTGTCTACTTGGATGTTGTAACATCATGTGGCAGTGAATTTATTTCTGAGCCATGCCAATGGATCTATCTCTTTGCTACCATGTCAATTTCCAGAGAAGACACTGGGGTCTTTACCCGTATTCCTGGAGCTCCAATCTTTGTCCTTCATGGAAGATAAGAATATATTCCAGTGAGCTTCTAATGATGTTTGATGGAGAATCCTCAGGGTAAGCAAATCTTGACATAGCAGTATACATGGTAAGATGACCATAAATATGTTAAAACAAGGTCAGTCCTAGAACTACTTTGCTAAATTTTGATAATGACTCGTATTTTTAAGACATGATACAATGGGCTTCAGTTATCAGTTTGAAGACATATGGCATCGTTAATTCTTTCAATACATATTTGTAAAACATCTATTATAATTAAAGTACCGCTGAGCTATGGAAGGTCCAAAAAAGCACTGTGCATCTCTTATCACAACCCGTAAGTTTTGGAAATTGTGGTAGAAGTTTCTCTTCACAACCTATTTTTATACATTTTTTGTTTGCTTGTTTGTTTGAGGTACTGGAAGTGGAACCCAGGACATTCACACTGAGCTACATCCTCTGCCCTTTTTATTTTAAAAGAAGGTTTTCACTAAGTTGCTAAATTCCCTGCACTGGGTTCCAAGTTTGAATCCTTCTTCCTCAGCCTCCCAGAGTTCTGGGACTACAGGCATGTACCTGTAAGGTGCACGGCTGTAAGGTTCTTCATGCAAATAAGAGAAACTGCCTGGCTGTAAGGTTCTTCATGCAAAGAAGAGAAGATCCTAATTTTTATTCTATGATGCCTTTGATAACTTCTGCTTTTGACTTCCTTTATTCTGTGTAAGGCATTAGGATAAGAGTATTAATAGCATACAATCATATGCATAGGCAGCATAGTCAACAATGAGCCTCATATACTGTGGCCATCCCACAAGGCTGTATTGTCTTGTGGCAGCATAGCTGTTTCAGTTTGTGCAAGTGCTCTCTGCAGCTACATAGTCCAGCAGCCAATTCCTGATGCACTTCTCAGGTGCATGCTAGTTGATAAGGTGAGTCACTTCTGTACTTTGTCTAGTAATTCAACTTCTGGGAACCTTTGTTTCTTCACTTACAGATAGAATATTGTTAAAATCAGATGTTAAATGGTTATGCACAAGTGCTGAAATACATTCAGCAAATTGCATCAATAGCTACACTTAATATTATATTAATACCTATGCATCATTCTCATCCAAACTTGAAAGGATTCTCTTTGTCTTTCCCATTCACATAAAATCAAAACTATCTGCTTTGGGTGGCTCCAACTTGAAAAGGTGCCTCTTTTTTTCCATTTCAATTGCCACCTTCCTAATTCCTTTTCTTAATTCCATCTTCCCTTCTTACATGATTTGGGCAACCAGATAATTGTTGCCAATTTAGTTGGCAACCAGGCAACTCATCCCAAAAGAAATGAATGACTTAGTCCCTTCTCAGGATCCTTGGTACCAGTGGTACTATTCAGAGTCCACTCAGTCATAGCTCTCTAATAGCACCGTACTGTTCCACAGAGACACCCTGACCTTCTGAACTCCTGTCAATTTCTTTAACCCTGTCTTCTAGATCCAACTGGTCCTTTAGACCCATCTCAAAGCCTACTTACTTCTCTTGACTTTGGCTAGGTTACATCTTGTCTCATCTCTTATAGGATGTCTAGGGCATGATATCAGTGCTATAGCATTTATTTGACACTGAAATATACTTGGTAATAATAATAATAAAGTAACTGTTCAAAGCAAAAGAATCGAAATTAGATGTTGCAGTGATTAAATTAAATTAAAATAGAGCGGGGTATGGTTGTGCCTCCCTACAATCCTAGTACTCTAGAGACTGAGGCAGGAGGGTAGAAAGTTCTAGAAGCCAGGCCAGTATGGGCTATGGAGTCCAAACCAGTCCCCAAAACAAACAAAAAAAAACCAAAACAACCAAAAAGATCCACACTGAACAGAATTCCTAACCACAGTAAGTGTTAAATTACTATTAACCATCTCTAGCCAGATGTTGTGGTGCACACCTGTATTTTCTGCATGTTGGGAGGCTCAAGCAAAAGGCTTGGAAATTTAAGCCCAGCATGGGTAATTTAACCATTTCATGAGGACTTGCTTCAAAAAGAAAGTTTAAATATTTAATAAAATGTACAGAAGTAGCTCAATGAGAAAACCCTGAGTTCAACCCCCATATTGCAAAAAAAAACAAAAACAAAACTATTCTTAGTAATAAATTGTGCTCATTTATTTTCTTATTATGATATTCCTAGATAACAATGATCTTCTTGCTGATGATACCCTTTCCAATACTTTGCCCTGGTGAGTTTTATTAGAGGTGCCCTCAGAACTAATTGCTCACAAACTTATCTCTTATAGACCCTGCTCTCACTTTATCCTTAACATGTAAGGGATATGCTAACTCACATTGTCTGATTGATATATGATTCAAGAAGTTTTGTGCTTAACATTTGATTAGGGTTGATTAAAGAAACTGTATAAGTCAGGGTACGTACGTGAATAAAACCCGTCATTTAGTAATATGACATCGTAATTACAATTAATACTCCCTATTGTGTGTGCTTGTCCTAATAAGTGCCAAGTAGCTTGTTAAGAACCACTTTGAAATATTTTTCTAAGTGCTCTTATCTTGCCAAACTTTGGCATAGTGATTGATGAAAAGAGTAACAATTTATTTATTTATTTTTTTAAGAGTAACAATTTATTTGCAGAGCTAAAAATCTCTGGCTGGACCGCTTTCCATTTTGCAGATTGGTTGCACTGAGGTTTACAGAGGACCCATGCATTTCCTTCTATTACATCACCATACCAGAAGAGCAGCGGCTACACAGGAGAATACTTCTTTTTTTTTTTTTTTTTGGTTTTTCTCCGGTACCGGGAACCGAACTCACGACCTTGCGCATGCCAGGCAGGCGCTTTTGCCGCTGAGCTAAATCCCCAGTCGCAGAATACTTCTTTTATATTCCAAAATATGTTGGCCTTTCCCAGAGGGATTAGCCCGCTATTTTACCTTATGGGCACGGTGACTGTGTGCCCAGTCAGATGTGTGAGTCCACCTGCCTTGCCTGATGAAAAGATTGGAGGCAAATCTCAGCCTCCTCTGGAGCTGCAGTATAGGTTTTGAGCTAATGGTTTCCTACTGGTTTCCTTCCTGATTTCATTTTATTTGTTATTATCATTATTATTATTTTATTTTCAGTCACCTTGAGTCCAGTATCCTTGAATGTGCTCATAGACAGGCAAAGCGAATGTGACTAAAGGCCACACTGTGCGTTTTTTCTGCTGGGTTTGAGGCAAACTGTCTAGTGGAAACACCGGGCCTTTGGAGAGAGGCACGGTTGGACTTGAATTCCAGCCTTGACACTTAATAACTGTGGATTTTGGACAAGTTCTTTAATCTTCCTGACTTTCCTCTCTGTAAAATGAAAATAATAACCTATAATTCACAGAGACGTCTTGGGGGATTAAATAAAATAACATGTAAATTACTTTGTGCATAGTAGGCATTCAATAAATGTCAGTTCACTTCTCCCAGTTAATAATGCTTATTAGAATATATTAAAAACTAGAACCAGTCTGTGATAATGTATTTCTTTATTTATTGAGTATTTAAGCCAAATAACTAATCTCCCCCAGGGGAAGAGAAATGTTGAACTTGTTTATTAAGTTCATTTGGTGAACTTATTTTCCCTTAGTGAATTTATTTATTAATCTCTTTGTCTTAAGCTCTATTTAGTTTCATAGTCCATCATTTAATTTTCATGCCACAAAATGATGCAATTTGGTTCTTTTTTCACCATTTGGTATTTTAACTCCACTATGATAACATTGGTTCCTCTAAAAATTACCTATTATTACCTATGCCATTTATTAGAAATCGCTCTTAATTATATTAACAGCTTGGTTGTGTTTGTCACTATTCTTGCTGACGAACTTTTGCTCTCCACAGTTTTCCTGAGGTCTGAGGGTTTAAAACAATCAAGTTTTCAATGGCAGTGCTACAGGGGGAAAAAAACAAACAAACAAACCAACAGGGCTTGGGCGTACAGATCCATCGTATATGTTCTTTCGTGTTAATTTTGCAGGTTTGCATTTAAGTGGAACCACGTTTTCCTCAAGGACGCAGCCTAAGTAAGCCAGCCAGGCAGCAGAAGTGGAAACTGAGCTGGAACGACGCTACCATTACACCTTTAAGGACTGGAGACTTGGTGTTAGCTCGGCCTCCTTCCCGGCCCACCTCTGAACTCTGATTGACAGGGCGCCGGGAGGGGAGGAGCCGAAGGAGGCCGGAGAGGAGGTGCAGGGAGGGAGGTAGGGGGAGGAGGACACCGTCTTTTCTCTGCTGGCCAATCAGAGGAGGGGGCGTGGCTCCAGGAGCCCTCCTCCCTCCTTCTCTCCCCCGCCTCCCGGCTTCCCCGCCCCCTCCCCCCTTCCCTCTTCCCTCTGCCCCCTCCCCTCTCCTCCTTCTAGTCCTCCTCCTCCTCCTTCTTCTCCTCCTCCTCCTCCTCTCAGGCTGTGGTTTTTCTGTATATGTTTCTGGAGTCCTGAGCCTGAGCTAAACAAAAGCAGGAGGCTGACGGGGCTGCTGGAGTTTGCAGAGACACGAAGGAGGAGAGAGCCTGGGCTTTGCCTGCCGCCGCTGCTGGGGGAGATCTGGCTTTTGCAACAGCCCACCCCCTTTGAGATCACTCTGGCCCGGAGTGGGGGTGGGGGGCAGCGGGGGGTGGGGGGGAAAGTTTGCATTGCAATCCCCCTGCCTTCCTCTCCTTTCTCCCGATCAATGCATATTTGCAAAAGGATTAAGCCACAGATTTAAGCGCCGGGAGCCCATTTCTGCCTTGTAAAGGAGATCGGACTGAAAAACCAAAAGCCAGCTCTGATTTCTTTTCGCCAAGTGGGAAGGTGGTTTATTTTTCTTGCTTTTTGGAGTCAACACCCTTCCCCACCAGCCCTCACCCCCACCCTCACCCCGCAACCCCTTCACGCCCCCTCCCCCTCCCCGCTCCCCACCCTCCCACCATCCTCTAAAGAGGCAAAGGGAATTTTTTTCTTCTTCTTCTTTTGGTCCTCTTTTTTTTCCCCCTTCCCTGTTTATCCTGAAAAGGATTTGAAGACAGCTTGAAGGATAAAAAGCCTGGTGCTTCCCAGGAGCCGAGCCGAGGAGCAGAAGAGGAAGAGCCGAGGGCTGCCGTAGCCTTTGGAGATGGACGAGCAGCCCAGGCTGATGCATTCCCACGCTGGGGTCGGGATGGCCGGACACCCCGGCCTGTCCCAGCACTTGCAGGATGGGGCCGGAGGGACCGAGGGGGAGGGCGGGAGGAAGCAGGACATTGGAGACATTTTACAGCAAATTATGACCATCACAGACCAGAGTTTGGATGAGGCGCAGGCCAGGTGAGATGGAGGCTTTTCTTTTCCTTTCTTGGGTTTTTTGTTTTGTTTTGTTTTTTTTCCCTCTCGCAGGGGGAAACAATGGGAACCGAATCACCACAGCGCTTTCTTTTAAAATGTTGTTTCTTTGCCCGTTTTTGACAAGCAACTACATGGCGGAGGAGTAAAATTTGAAGAAGCGTTGTTCTCGAAAGTGTGATCGCCCAGGCTGTGATGTGGCTGTGTACATATTGTGCGTGCGTGTGTGTGTGCGTGTGTGTGAGTATAGAGGTATTCATATAGATCCACACAAACACTCAGGCACGCCGAAAATACTGCCAACTGATCCAAAAGCGGCTCTCGGCACTTTTTACTGCTTTAAAAAAGTGTAAGAGAGCAGAATTGTCAAGTTCAGAGTAGCATTCCATGCCTTCTGGTTGAAGGACTTCCTAACATTACCAAATAAAATGTCCCAAGAACTCTTTATTTGCATATTCAGCTGGCTCTTTAGCTAATTCGGCGAGTTTGATTTTCTTTCTTGTCTTACCCTCCAAAATTATGATCTTTTTTCCTTTCTCACCCCACCAAATCCAAAACAAGCCAACAACAACAACAACAAAAACAGGCTATTTCTTTGTCATAGTTGTCAGCATTCAAAAAATATTTTGCACTCACTTAATTCTGCTTTTAGAAAAAGCTAATGGCAAAAAAACAAAGATAATTTTGCTCTTGGGAACATTTGCTAGTTTGAAGAGACTCATTTTTAGTTTAACTTTATTGTCTCTTAATTTAAGTTGGTTTGCTAGTCTTCTGTGACACAGGCAGCTACGTATGGTCCTTTAAAAAAAAAAGATCAGGGGGACAAAAATCAAGCATGCTGTTTCCCCTTGCTTCTTCTTCCACCACTTAGAATGCAACTAAAGAGAAAGGAAAGCTTGTGTGGATTTTATGTACTTGAATCCTCCAGGACACGAAGATGTCCATTAAAGAAACATAATGAAGAAACTGGCTTCCTAACTTAATCCACCGCCAGGTATATAGTTCTGAACTCTAGGATTTTATAGAAAATTCTCTTTCAGAATAAAACACAGATTTAAGTGGCAACTCACTAGCAGCAAGCCCAAGGCCGAACTTGAAAGGAAGAATTTTAAAAATCTAATGACCACATATGTCTCTACAATTACTCAACAATTACAATTGTTGAATCTTTGAAGTATTTTTTTATAATTTGAAAATCTTTTAAAAATATGCACAAAATTACTTCAAGTGACTTAGGTGCACGGAGAAGACATGCTGTGTAATTTTTTCTAAGGGAAATAGAAATTTGAGTTGGGGAAATTAGAGGAAATATCTAAAAGCACGGATGTTGTGAATCACACTCTATTTTAGCTGCCAGCACATGCAACATGTAAACTCAAAAGTACTAAGGTTTACGGGTGCTCTGAAACTTGCAAATGTTGAAAGACTAGAACTATTCTAATTTTCTTTTAAATAGGGGGAAGGTTTTTAAAATTAATGGGTACTCTTTTTAAATTTTATTATCTGATGAAAAGCTAGTAAGTATAGTAAATGGACAATTTCCCACTGGCAATTCTCTTTTGAATTGGAGCTGATTTCTCTATTATATTGTTCCAGAAAAATACGCTCAGACATACCAGTAAACCGGCTTGATGGCAAGTTTGTGAACTGGAAGGAATCAGTAAGAATAGACACTCACTACTTTTCTGATGTTTAGTCTCTCTCCTTTTCTGTGTAACTGAGGACTAGCACGGCTCAGCCGGTCCCCCTTTAATGGCCTAGATGCTGAGAGACCAGATACAATTTTGGGACAGGGAAATTTTCAATTCTCCCTCTATAATTCCATTTGTGAAACTGTAGAAGTGCAATATTTCTCTGTAGCTGTGTGGGAATTTTTGTGTGCATTTGGGTCTGTGTGTAAGAATACAATTAGTGAAAACTGTTTTAAAAGAGGAAGGGAAGATAAGATCTTTAAGAATAAAGTCTTTCATCTTTTTTTCCCTCCTCTAGGAGAAAAATGACTAAATCTGCTACTGTGTTTTCTTTTTGGTTAAACAATGTAACTACTTTAGCAATACTATGTTGTTTTTTCCTTTTCCTAGTCACATCTTTATAAATGTGTATTTGTTGATTCAAAGGTAACAGTTACGTTTTAAATACAATCTACGTGTTCATTTCGGTGTCTTGAATTTTGAGTTTATTACTCCCTATTGTACAGTAGATAGAGCATTCTTGTAATCTCTGTTTTACATGACGATGTGTTTCTATTTTTTTTTTTAACTTTCAAAAGGATCAAAAAAGAATTGCATTTGTTTTGAGTGCCAGAGCTTTTCATTTATCTTCACATTAATTTCAGTTAGTAAACAGAGTTCCCTTAACTAATAGCTGATATGATCAGTATTTTATTTCCAAAACATTATCATTCTGTTAAGTGATTCCACAATAAAGTAGAAGGAAAGGTATTGTTTGGTTCCTCAAGTGCATTCTAAATACAAACACACACAGACACCAGAACCAGGTAAATAACTAATCTAAAAGGCACAATTGTATTTATTTTTTCCCCAATGGGTGCAAGGTCCTAATTGTAAATAATTGAATTTCAACACCTGCAAATAAGCGGTGTGTGCACAAGAGGCATAATGTGAACACAGAGAAATGAATTTATTCCCCATATGGGTATGTTTGCCCCCTGGCAATGCATTTCCATACTCTTTAACTTGGGGACTGAAATTTTATAAATTGACAGTTCTACTCAGAAGACCTTTCAAGCATCTTGTGTTTATGAGAATACAGGGGCATCTGCGGAATGAATTCGAACACATGGATGAATTAAATTTGAAAACACACACACACACACACACACACACACACATCCCGGCTGAGAGGCAGACAGCTACTAGGCTGTGCTCGTTGCATAGATTATATAAAACTGCATTTGGCTTTGCTGTATTCATTGTCCTATATAAGATTATTGGTTTAAGAATTCCACTTTGATTAAAGTATTATTTTAAAAAAAACTCTCCCTAAATGGGCATAATTTAGGTTAGTTCTGTTCTGTACTTAAATCCCTCCTCTCTCACTGCTAATTAACATTATTTCTCTCTCTATGATGGGACTTTGTATATTAAGTCATAAAAACAATTGAAGCATGCCACAGAGTTATGCTCCATCTGTAATTTTGCCTAAATGTTCAGATTTTACCCCTTTATGTTATCAGTCATTCAATCTCGAGAATCCACCTAAGCTATCATGTTGTTGTTTTTTCTTACAGAAAACATGCTCTGAACTGCCACAGAATGAAGCCTGCCTTGTTTAATGTGTTGTGTGAAATCAAAGAAAAAACAGGTAGGAATGAGAATCCAACATTTTGACATTTTCTTTGGCCAATTGAATCCTTAAGCAGCAATCATGAGCCTCTTATTTAAATATAAAAATTCAGAATAAAAGTGTAGCCATGGTTGTCTATATACTTCTAATAGGATGTCCTAGTCCTGCTTTCTTTAAAAAAAAGCACTAAGTTTCTTTGACAGTTATTTTCAAGCATTATAGATTTATTTTCCTTCATTGTATTCTCAGTCTTTTCCGAAACTGGAGTTAAAATGTGGGTTCTGGAGGGAATTTATGGAATGGTGTGGCTTTGTGGGAAAATATGAAAGTAAAAGTCTATTTCCCATATATATTTTGGCCCATAATTAAAATCTTATTTTTTTGGTGTTGTATATAGGAAGCTAAACTGTTTAAGTTTCTTTTTTCCTTCTCTCTCGTTCTTTCTTCTATTTACACAGCAGACTAGATGTTCTTAAAAGAGACTGTCATCAAATACCTTTGTGGAAAGTACTCTACAACATTAGGTTATTGGTATTTGAATGGCCTGTGATTTTATAGCAAGGAGAACTGTTGGGTTTAGAAGAGTACACTACCTTGCGATCACTCACTCTCTTGTTTTTCTACTTTCTAAATCTCGTATCATGGACTAACACACTTATAACACATCCCAGGAGGGCATTTAAATTTTAAAGCAACAATTAAAAAATAGCAGTCATCAATCAGAGGTGTTCTTAAACAACAGATGCTCAGGGAAGGACATTTAGCAACATCCTCTTGTTTGTTTATTTTAATCCTTAATTTTCCAAAGTGGGTAAATCTCGCCCTTGTAAGAAGAAAGAGTTGAGGAGGAGGCAATCTGAAACCAATCATAAAGATGAGGGACAAGGGGGTGGTTACATAAAGCGGGAGCTTCTGCTGGGTTCTGACTTTCCTGCTCTCTGTGAAGCCCAGTGCGAAGTACCTGACGTCTGATTGATTGATTTATTTATTTATTTATTTATTTATTTATTTATTTATTTATTTATTTATTTAAACAAGGAGTGTAACAGTCAATAATTCATATCTAAACCATATAAGCAAGGGCATGACATGAATGAAAGTGACAATAAATATGATTGCATGCCCGGTTGATATATATTGATGGTTACACATAAAATAGGAAAGGGGGGACATTCAGGATAGCTTTCTCTTTTTGAGCTCTCGGGGCTATACCTTTAAAAAAAATAAATAGTTTTGAGGTGTGTCTGTTGATTGAATATGTAATTACTTGGGCCTTCAAATGTATAGAAAATTAGTAAGCAGGTCCTTTGTTGTCTGTTATTGGTGTTGCGCATAATATCCTAGACAAAGCACCTGAAAAGTGATGTTCAGACCTTTGAATCTTCCCCGTTGCTTTGCCAAAGCCTAACGTTATTGCCAACCTGATAATTGCATTATTTTAGCTGTGAGACACCTTTTAAGACATTTGTGGATTGTGCATACAAATATCAAAGGAGCTTTTTTTTTTCAGTTTGTCAGACTTTCCAGGTTTTTTTTTTCTATTAGCCCAGAATAAGAAAACTTAAGTGTGTATATACGTGCATATTTATTTTTTCTTTTCTCTTCTTTTCATCCTCCTGTTTTTCTTCTTTTGTCTCTGATGTTTATTTACTTTGCATACTTCCTTGAATTTGTTGAAATTGATTTCTAATTGAGTATGCGTTCCTACTGGTCTTCGTTCACAAAATGTAAGGTCAAGATGAAAAAGGATATTTAATAATACAGAATGAGTTATTTTTGCAGATGTTTTATTAGATTTTGATTAAAAGGAGGACAGCAAGGGCACTTAAGTGTACATTGTGGCCAAAGTGTTTAGTTCGAGTTTCCAAATTAAAACCTACTGAGGCAGTAGGTCGAAGTGGGTGGGTGGAAACAGAGAACCCGTTCAGGTGTTGCTTTAGAGTTTGCTGCTTGTTAATACTGGCAAAAGTCTGGTGACAGGGAAACTTGTGTTAGCCAAAATATTGTTCTAAATGTGTCATTTTCTAGTTGGAATACATATTGTGCTTTTTGAAAAAATTTTGTGAACACACTGAATGTGTGGAGACTCTCAATATCTATGACAAACGTGTGTGTTATCTCTAGAATTATATACTTTTTCAATATAGTTCATGAAATAATGTAAACGGAATGGTTAAGTGTCATTGTCCCCTGTGTTGAGGGAGAAATACACAGTCCTGGACCAAGTTAACACCTTTGGGTAAAAGTTTAAATACCTCCCTCTTATTCTTCAACCTGAGAGCTGGAGGGATTGAGGGAAGGAAGAAATCAGAAGTTAACTGTGGTATATTGAAAAAAACACTTTGATTGTAAAGCACAGTAACTTTGCCACTCAGGATCTGTGGCACCTTCATAGTTTGTACCAACAAATCTTCCATATGATGGATGCATCAGCGTAGTAGAAAGTGTCTGTAAAGTTGGACGAGCATATTGGGGTGTTTCTTTTTTCTTTTTTTCTTCCCTCTTGATACAGAGCTAGCAAAAAGATCTCTTGCATGATCAGTTCACAAATACTCCCTTACTGTTTGGGGATATTTCCTATTGTTATTCTAGAGCTCTTAGGCTGTAGTGAGTATTTTTAGGCAGCTGTCTGAAGCACTGCAGAAGGCACTTGACTTTGGGTGGCCTTTGTTTGTGTTCTAATGTGACGTTCACACTTTTGCTCACCTAGGAAGAACTCTGGAGAGGACCTTGATAATTGCATTCATTCAACTGCTTTTGTTTTCTGGCTTTTGTTCATGATTTTAGCTGAAGGACTCAAAACTAAACAGGAAAACTATCTGTTGTCTCATCAACCTTTTGTAACTTTAAAACACATACACATGTTCATAATACCCAAAGTAGGCAGTACATCTGAATTACAGTTGATTGATGGGTATTTAAGTTAGAAATTATTGTCAGAATATTAAAAATAAAGAAAAAGAACCCATGTATGCTTGCTTCAGCATGTGACAAGTTCTTATTTTGATAATTTTTGCTTTTTAAAAGTGACCGAGGAGGTAGACTAAGACCAGGAAAATGCTCAGGTGGCCAGTTTAAAACAACAGCAAGAAACAATTGTTTAAATGAAGAGCAATGTATATTTCAGATGTGGCTTTTATCTGCACGCTCAGTCTAGGAACATAGACACTTAATATAATAGTTTGGGTCATTTATTTTCTCTCTCCCTCTTTCTTTTTTTTCTTTTCCTTCCTCCCTCCCTTCTTTCCTTCCTTCCTTCCTTCCTTCCTTCCTTCCTTCCTTCCTTCTTCCCTCCCTCCCTCCCTCCCTTCCTGTCTTTCTTTCTTCCTTTCTGAACCATTTCTTGTCTTCTGACCTCTTAGCAATAAGCTAATAGGTGCCTTGCATATGTGTATATGTAGTGGCCACTGAGTTTCATGGGGTAAAAGAAAAAGGAAAAAGTCAAAAATTGCATTTCTGAGGAAGACTCAATATATTTTAAAGTATTTCTTGATTTTTTTTTTTTTTGTTCTATGTCAAAATCACGCAGTTTTAAAAATCAAAAAAAGATAAAAAAATTTAGGTACCATTTACTAAGGAGAATATTTATAGATAACAATGAATAGTTGCAATTGTTGTGAGTAGTTTTTAATTTTAGAATGTAATAGCTATATATGGCACTGTTCAGCCAATTTTCCTCTGCACGTAATCCGCACTGAAGTTAAATCACATCATTGGAGGAGGTTAAAAATTATTTTTTGCTTCCTTAACACCCTTTTGTTCTCTCTTCTTTTCTCACTGTGTGCAATTAGCAGCCCCATCACGGAACTGTAGGTTATATTTTTAAGTCTACTACTGTATTTCTTTTTTGACACCCTCCCTTATAATTCCTGTCTGCCCCTCTTTTTCATATAGCAATTATATTATTGGGCTTCTACTCGCCTCTCTTTTAAAGCATTAGAGAATAATTTCTGTGTTTGTGTGTCTAAGTTTATTTATACGGGTAGGGGGACCACACTGGAAGAATGCTGTGTACTACGGGGATCTAATTCTGATGACCTGAATCCTGAAGCACAACAGGACTGCAATAACTTTAGACAGTTTACGGCAGCTTCCAATTATATTCCTTTTGCAGTTGAAGCAGGAGTGATTTTGTTTTAGTAGAAGCTCATGCATAGCAGGCAAATGCAAAAACTTTTCTTGCTGATAGACAAATTCAACAATTTGGTCCCTATTGTTGATTTTTCCTCCTTTCCTTTTTGTTTTTATTTTTATTCTTCTTTTTTATGGACAGTAGTAAGGAGAGGAAAGAGGATCTCATGAGGGGGAGATACAAGTTAGTTTTGTCTGATCACCAGCCTTAAGGCAGAGCGATAAAGCAAAGCGATGTGCTTAGACTCTATTACTTAGGATAGTAGGCATGGATATAAGGTATAGACTGAGAACACAATAGAAGGTGAATTTGTGCCCTACTATGTGCCTTCTCTCCGGGAACTTTTGCTTACTCCATTTGAGAAGTGGGGAGAACGGAGCACGGAGAGCCATTTGGTCCTAGCTCCCAGAAGATTTTTGGAAATGCGGTGTCGGTGTCGTTTGTTCTAACCGTAGGGGTGTCTGTGAAGCTTGCATATGACAGCGGTTAAGCGTTCACTGAGACTGGAAGGGGCTTTGTGAGAGGGGAAATGCAGAGAGGAACGTGTGACCTAGAGCCACTGTGGGAGCTGGGAACCAGGGTGTGAACTCCCACGCGGCCCTCGCGCGGTGCCTGGGGGCGGGGCTTTACCTGCCTGCCCTCCTTTAGCTCCTTGCTGGGGCGGGCTGCTTCACCTGCTCTTGCCCAGTGTCTTGTTGACACCAGGAATTTGTACAGAAATGTCCCCAAGCAAGCAAACAAACCAAAGCCTAGGTATTGAGCAGCTGTAAATAATTTTTATTTTAAAGCATAACTGTGACTTCTTTTGAGGTAGTTTACTTATCTGGTGTAGGAAAGCTGAACTTTAATTTTGGTTTCAGATTTCATTTAGAGGGAAGCTGTTATG